ACAATCTGATAATTTGCATTCCGCCATGTGGCTTGGTGTGTTTGGCTTACATATCAGAACCAGTAAATACCACTCGAAATGATCTACGCCACTCTGTCAGTCAGTAAATATGCAAATAAGTCGGTAAATAAGTAAACACAGTACTCATTCTATCATGCCCGAGTCAGAACACGAACGGAACGGATTATTAAAGTCAGTCTGATTAATTGTGTCGAGGCAGCGAACATCGGTACATTCCCTTCAGAGATATCATAATAGTATGAGCTCAGCGAGCAAAATCGAGGGGAGAAATCGGTAGTTTTGGTGAACATCAGCAGATACTAGCGGCTATACACCATACTATGCATGCGAAGACGCTTAAACCGCTCTACTAGACCGTCACTTTAGCGATATGGTAACGAATACCTCCCGGCTAGACAAAGAAATACCTATCGCCAAATTCACCCGATGGCGTGGGATCCCAATACGTTTTTAAGACGTGTTATCTATCTATAAGGGTTTTGAAATATATCTCCGATTTATGTGCACCAATGTTAATGACCCACATTCTGAATAACAGAGAGTAAGTTTGACATTAAGCGCACCTCAGAGTGGTGCCAATTCAGGAGCGAAGCGCTCAATTGAGAATTAAGACAAATATCTTCCAGGGTAAAATGGAGCTCATCTTGCAGATCACTTTAAACCCTGGTGGTAGCGACGAAACCTTCACCTTTGTAACCATTTAGAGTCATGTCTACCTTTGCCATGACGTTCAACAATATTCAGCTGAGCTAGATCTATTATACGCCCATCCAACTCTAGTAACCAGGTACCAGATATGCATAGCTATATGTGATGCTGTCAGAACTGACTTCGGGAAAAGCAAGAGATAGGTGGTTGGTGAGGCAGAACATGTGAGCATGTGTACAGTGGCCTTTGAAGCAAATGTAGTAGAACACGGAATATATATTATATGTAGCTTTGCTTTGAGTAAGGAATCATAGCCTATTCCAGCGCAGCAGAGGTGGTCGTTTCTGTTTACACCAACAAACCATACCCTAGCTCTCGCGGAGCAGGCTCCTAGGGTACTAGTCTAAAACACTACTTTACTAACGTGTCTGTCTGTCGGTGACTCGGCCCGTAACACAATTTCGCACTTCTTACTGGACAAAAAGCTGTTAAGTGAAGCGAAGGCGCCCCCGGTCACTGGCTGATATTGAGTCATATTTTAAAAATTAATACTACTGAATACTTTTTCGGCCAGCTGATTGGCTAATATATTTGTGCTTCTTTCTTTACGCCCCATTTCAAAAAGCGGAGCGGCGGCGATACGAAGAGCGCGTGCGATTGCGGGACAAGTGCCAAACGGGAACCCCACGCAACGTATGTAGCGATTTGTAAGTAAGTTAGTCCGTTCGAGGGTAGCGCTAATACATGCCTTCTACTGGCTGCTGAGCGCAGTGAAGGCAACCGTAACGGGCTTAGCTGACATTATGTGGCGCTCCCATTTGTCGTAATTAAATGCACCGCTTCAAGTTTATTTTGCCCCCATTTCAAGCTCTGAGCGCCACTTCACTCAAAGGGCGCTGCCTGTGTACGCGTTAGTTAGCATTAGTAGGCCGCGCCGATCAGCACACACGCAATGTATGGCTACACAAGCTGTTAATAGCAATTGTGGGCTCCGGTGGCCCATTAAGAGTCTTGAAAGGTCCTTTCAGTACTTTTGTTAAAAATATGTTTTAAGCTTCGAAGTAATTTTATAGTAGTTTAATTTACAAGATTGTTAAGTTGAATACAATTTTATTTCTTTTAATTAAATATTTGCTTGCAATAATTTGTTGTAGGATTACACATGATAGTTATATGATACCAGCGTTAGTTAATATTACACAGCTATATTACTAATACTAACTACTAAAAAAGTGTTTAGTGGCCTCCCACCATACACCCCCACTCCACCGCCGCGAAAAACATCGTCTTTCTTTGTATTTGCGCGCGTAGTGTGTGACCATTAGAACATGTGCCCTTTTTCCAACACGATACGTAGCGTACCGTCAAGGCTGGAAGCAGGAGCTGTGACTAAATTAGCGCGGAGGCACGTGATTAAGCTAGAGCACGAAACACGGTGGAAAACACTATCTACATGACGGAATAGAAGAAACGGCACGAAGCACGAATGGTCACGGACAATAACAGAGGACTAAATCAATGAAGGCACCAAACGATTCTGAAATGCACGAACCACGGAAGAGCGTGCAACCCTGAAAAATGGGGAGGAAAAGAGTATGACGGGCGTACGGACCACGGAAGAGATCTGAAATACCCACATACAGCCCGTAGCTGTGACAACGCACGAAAAAAGGATTATTCCGTTGCACCACGGTGGACCACGGAGCAAGGTCGACGAACCAAGCATGATTTCGCGGAAGACCATTAACGGGAGATTACAGAGCATTGAAATACGATACTAGGGTAGAACCGGAGCTCACGGAGCCACGGAGACCGATACTACGGTAGCCTACGATGGAACGGACGACAGACAAATCTCGACACCACAAGAAAAACACGATAGTATGGACGGTGACCCAACTAATAAAGCATGGGAAAACGCGCAGTCACGGAAGCTATAGACGAGAAATAACGGAGCCACGGAGCACGATACCCGTGAAGAACTGAGCTCACCGAGCCACGTGGGACGCTATTACAGTACAATATGATAGTACGGACGTCGGACCCACGGGGAAACGCTTCAGGAGAGCGCGAGGGAGCACAATTGCACGACCTGATACCATGGTCGACAGATTTACGCTTTTAGTTCGCAATAGCATGGTTAGCATAGCAACACCGTGATTGCACATAGCAAAATAACGCGGTCGATGAATTCACACCAGGAACGCACGATACATGTGCGACAGATCAACACAGCTACGGAAAAGTACCCATCGGCGAGGGTACTGGTGATGGGACGCCGTGGACCATGAATGATTATGGACCACAAACCTGTGGAGCTCACGTAAACCCTTGAGAGCACAAAATAGCTAGCAGATACGAAAGAGGGGGAAGGGGGGGTATGAGCGAGTACGAAACCAAAGCAATAACGCCTAGCCACTAAGCGGTACGAGCTACGGGTATTTTCCACGTTGTTTCATTAACAAACGAAGAGAACTTCGACTTGCCGGAGCGAAGCGGAGGCCAGCGGCTTTCATGGGTGATAATGTGGCCTCACCCTAAATACAACACGGTTTTACTGTGACATTTCATCTTTTGAAATTTTCATGATAAATTAAAAAACATTCAGCCCCCCGCCGGAGCGAAGCGGAGGCGGGTGGCCTACACACCTGGGACCCACCACGGACCCACCGCCGCGAAGCGACGGCGCTTGGCTAGTTACATCATGTAATTTACATGTATTATAAAAATAGCCACGGATTTATTTTTGCCGATCGTCACTCTCAATATCCGGACCTTATCCGGACACTTTGCAGTTTGAAGCGCGCAGCTCTGTCAGCACCAGAAGTGGAGTCGATTAAGTAGTTTGGTCGCGGGACATAGATTTATGGATGAAGTGGTGTCGGTGATTACTAGTACTAATAAATTTAATATTATAAATAAAGTAAGCATATTTGATGTAATACTGTAAAACAATCGTTTGATCACTTTAAGATTTTTAAACAAATAAGTCTGTTAAGTTACCCTGGGATGTATTTTTAGGGATCGCACGGAGTTTCTTGATATATCGCTCAATTATTTCATCTGCATCCTTCATATTACTGAACCTCCGCGCAAGATCAGCCGGTTTCTCCTTCTCAGCAATCCATTTGTTGATAAGCGCACTCAGCAAGTTTGTCACCAGTTTCGTCGCCCGCGGGGCCTTCTTTCCAGCATTAAGCATCGGAATGAGGCTAATGTCGTAGTAGTTAGCCCGTATACCATCGATCATAGTCTCCCTCTGGTTTGGATACCGTTGGTTGAAGTCGTTCAGACATTTGGCCCAGACTTTAAATTTTGGGCTGAAAAGAGGCTCTTCGCAAGCTTTGTTGAGGCTCAGGAAATGAAAGGTATGCGATGGCGTACTTTGCTGGCCTAGCTAATACATCAGCCACTCTTTCTCGACCAATTTGGCGGTTTTCACAGATGCTGGGTTTTGCGTTGCTGTCTCGATCATTTTGTCGACATCAGGCCATTGATAGCATAAACGGCGCGGCTCAAACCAGGATTATTGTTTTTTTAGATACTCCTTATTAAAGACCTTCACGTAATTCATCCACTCCTTAAAGACTGGGCCGCTTAGAATGTCATCCCCAATGCTGTCAAGACCGAACAGCTTAAACGTCATTTGGGGAGATATTCCGCTTGCCAAAATGCTCTGGATCTTTATTGTATGTAGTTTTGTTGTAGCCCTTTCCAAGCTGGGGAACGCTTTAGCTGCTGTGAGTAGACGCACCGAGCCCGGGGATCCGTCGTAGATCGCTGTGGGTTCAGCAGGAGCGGGTCGATCTTCGCCTCGCATTGCTTACACGTAGGGCCCACCAGTTTGCAAACTGTGAGTAAGCTCACAAATTATATCGTTTTAGCCAGTTACTTGCGTCAAAATTTTAGCCAATAGCGCGGTAAAGTGAGGTTGGTATTTATTAATAAAGAAAATAATAAAATGTATAATATTTAATATTTTGCTTTTGCTATAACAATTGTATTATCAGATTTAAAACAAATGAAAATTAAACATGAAATATAAGTGACTAAAATACTATGTACCAAGCGCGCATGCATTCATCGGGTGTAGTGCACAGAAGCAGATAGCGCAATGACCGTGCAGCCGCGCGCGGTGAGTCTGTCCCGTGTCACGACTCACGGGGGCCAAACCAGGAGGGTGGAGACTGGGCGAAGTTCCGAACGCGCTGGCCGACCCAATACACTGGGTGATCCCTCCGGCACCAATGGCGGCAACGGAGGATGAGTACAGGGTGTAAGTGTACCGCTCCTGTGGTACAGGGGCACTCTCTTCGTTCAAAAGTCGGTAGATCGCGGCTCGAGGTGCCTGACGACTAGAGGATGATGCATCGCTAGGGCGATGCGAGGACGAATGGCGTCGAGAATCTACACACGGCTAAAGTGGTGAGAATTTCATGTTGGGGACGGATGGCACATCAAGAAGCTCAAAATGGCGCATTGACGTCGTCATGTATATAAGGATTTAGAAGGTGTTTCGACGAACATAATTGCTAGTCAGGCGTAGATTTTTCTCGTTCAGCAAAGAACAGAAAACAACAGAAACAAACAAACAAACACTCTTTATATTGACGCAAGAGCCCCTCCTTTTAAACCCAAACGGTCTGCCTGTCACCTAAGGCAAGGTCCCTACTCACTTAACAGCCCGATCCCGAGCAGGGGAAGTATACGACATCTGGTGGATAAGCAGGGTACTCGTTCACTGGAGACGGATCAGACTTACAATAACCCGAGTGTTCCAGACTGGAGTGTACTGCTACCTAATGCGAAAGCTGTTCCTGTGACTTTCCGAAGTGGCGTGCGTTGGTTCCTGGATCGGTTTACCCGGCTGGAGCTCGAGCATAGCGAAGACGACATGGCTTCGCAGAGCAGCGACAGTGGGTCCGAATCCGACTACGGCTGACTGGCCCATGTCAATGAGGTGCTCACTACTGGTAGCAACACAGGTAATAGAATGGTACATTTTGGTACTTGGGAGCAACGTGCACCAACGAGTCCGAACCAGCCTGGCCTGTCGACACAAGCCGGTGTCGAATCTGTCCAAAAACGGATACATCGTGCTGCCGACGGCACTGGGCGAGGACGCTCAGTAGATCGATCCAGACCCCGAGCGAGAAGTCTGTTGACATCAAGAACTGGAGCACAGAGCGCGCTGGCGACTACGACTGGTGCTGGTGCAACGAGTGTTACTGCTGGTGGGTCCACCAGTGGGTTTCAAGAAACGCTTCTGTCCGGACTGCAGCCACTGAGCCTCGCCTCCAGCCAACGCCTGGCAATCGCGGATACCTCGGGTATTACGGTAGGTGATACGGGCCAGCATTTTAATCCGACGCAGCATGGATGGCAGAGTAACGGGATTTAGCCCAACGGTCGGTCATAGATCCCTACGGAGCCTGCGCTGACAAACTGTGGTTGGCGTCAGGTGTTCTACGCTGCTGTCCTGAACGCCGCTCAATGCGGTGGTTCCGCAGCTGTACGACAACCTTCGGGTTGTGCTACTCCAGTTCCGACTTCGTCGATGCCTCCCTGGGCTTGGGCTGGTTCGCCTGCGACGCTAGTGGCCGATATGGGAGCGGTCACGCCTACACCCGTGCGGACCCGGACGGATACACCCTCTTACCCTGACTTTACGATTGGTGATGCGATGATTCCGGCTAGGGATGGCTTTAACGGCGTGCTCACTTATCCATCCGGACGGACCGAGTGGGAACGCCTCTGTCAGTTAAGCGTTGGCTTACGCTTTAGTAGGGGTAAGTGTGTCGCCTCCTACACCGCTATAGAACGCTACTACTTTGACGGGCACTGGTACCGTTGATGCCCCCGCGAATGTTCCTAGTTCAGTAAACCAAGTGACGTCTGGACAGTGGTTTTGGTACCCGACGTCCGGAACGCAACCTGCGGTAAACGGCACGTTTTGGACTCGTGTATGGAATTGTGCTGTGGTTAGTGCTCCCTATATCGGCTGGGGTGGATGGTACAGCAGGCGATGCTACTCCGAGTGGTGGAGCTCCTGTCGCTGCGGAAAGGACGACCGGAGGATCGGGACCAAGTGTTGGATCTGTTCCGCCTACTAAGCCTATATCTCCTGAATTTGTTCCCATCCGGTGGACCTCCCGGGCCTGACTTTGGAATTTGTTGACTGTGCCCGCAGCCTTCGTTTAGCTACGCTACGCAACCGTTTATCTATGGGAGCGAGTGCGATATTCCGCCGGTCAGACAGCGACTGAGCGAGATGCCCTCTAGCATCAAGAATACGGTGCGGATGATTGAGCGGTTCTACTCGGGCAATGCGTCGGTAGAGAAAACGAAGACGTTCTGGGACGCTTTTGAGCGTGCTACCGTTGGCCTCGATGAACCTATCCGTCTCAGTGCTTTCAGAGAGTGCCTCAAGGGTAGGCCTGGTGAGGAGTGGTGGCTGTACTCGCAGATCGACAAATTCGATACGCTCCGGATCCACTTCCACAATCAGTTCATTTGTCAGACGCATCTTCAGATGATTGAACATCTCAAGACTACCAAGCGTTCCAAGGGTATGTCTGCTAAATTTTGGGGGGATCTCGTCTCAGGTTTGTGCGACGCTGCCCAATGCTATGATTCACAGATGCGCTACCAGTATTTCATGTCCAGTCTACGGAATAAGGAGTGGAAAGCTGCTCTAGCTACGACGATGGTCAATTCGATTTCTCAAGTGATCGCTGTTCTTCTCTACAAGAACATGCATTTACCCGTTGAAGAGAGTTTGAGAGCACTACTGCTCAGGCAACCGTCCGAGAGCACTATGCAGCAGCCGCAGAAATATAAAGCCCAACAACAAAAGCAACACGTAGGTTGTGTCTAGTCCTCACTCTGCACGACCGGTGGCCGCAACCTACCAAGTACCTGTCGGGCAGCGTTTTACTCAGAGTGTTCTCCAACCCGTGGAGCTCGGCTCTCAGATGCCGGTTACTTCCGTACGTGGGCCTCGCTTAGGACCTGTCCTGTACTCTCACAATGGTCTTATGGTATGTGGGCGTGTCATACGCTGGGCTGTAGCCGTATCAACTATCGCCGACAGTACGCTACCTGATCGTCGTACCAGGCGAAGGGTCATATTAGTGTGACGTGTACCAGTCTGCCCCGCATCAGTCACAACAGCCGCTACCTTTGCAACCCGTAATAGCAGCCACAACAACGGCGCAATCGCTAGCGTGGACAGTTCTGTAACCCGCGCGTGTGCTTTATGTGTGACAGCAGATATCACATGGTGTCCGAGTGTCCGACCCTGTAATCACGTAAGAGGGCTGCGAACGCGCCTCCGATGCAAGGTCAAACACCTCGCCAACAATGACGGTGGCAGGAGGAATGGAGTGATGCTCCTTCCTCTTGGCCGGTGGACGGCATCAGTGATACGCTCCGGGTTCTTTGAGTGTGGCGTGTGAGCAGCTCGAAGTGACACCTGAGTTTGGGAGGGAAGAGTTTCCTGTTTCCGGTGGAAATAGTGCAATGGTAAATGACGCGTATGAGCCTGGAACTGAATACGATGAGAAACGCTCCGCTGGGTTGTGCGTCAAGCGCGAGGTGCGCTACGACATAAGCCCCAGAGAATACGAGCGCTGCTGAGTACGACAAGGGAGGAAATGAGAGTCACAAGCAAGGTGGCTCTATGACGACGACTACGGCGGTGGTGAGTTGGCAGGCAATGAAGTGAGTGGACACGTTGAACAAGTGAATAAGGACTCGTACGAGGAGTACGATAAATTTGGGGACGTCAAGACGCAAGATGAATCCGATGACGACAAACACACGGCTACGAGGTGACTTGGAGGCTACGGTGACTAAGGTCGCCGCTTCCCCCGCCACGGTTGAAGGCGTGAACGCTGTCACAGTTGCCGGCTAAGCGAGGACGAAAATCCCGGTCGACGAGGGTTTGACTGGGAACAATTCGGCCTCGGACGGGAGCTCTGAAGGGCAGCATCGAGTGGACGGAGCGTACCAGGATGGACCGCGCGAACAGCTCAAGATAACTTTTAAATTACTGACAAGTTGGAGAGTACAAGCAGAACAAGTGAAACGGGTAATGGGAATGGTGCTGCTGTTGCATTTACAATCTCGGATAACTTTGGCGCGAAGTCAGACGCATTACGTGGTGGCAAGGATCATCCCGATTCTTTACAATTTTTGGAGTGGGAACGGTCAGATACCGTGCCACCTGCCCAGAGTGGAACACTCCCGAATTGAGCAGCAGACGCAGAGGTGATCAAGGCTAAACAAAAGACGGTGGGTGCTGCTGCAGAATATGCTCCCATGAGCGAGGATGGGCACGCAGAATACATAGACGACAAGCCTCATGATGGCGTCTCACCCAAACCCCACGTGGCGTTGTTTGCGCCCGAGTAGCTGGACACTTTGACAGAAGGAGCGACTTATCCGTACCGATCGCGGAGGAACACGAGGGCCGGATATACTCTCTTGACGAGGTGGAGCTGAAACGACGTGTGAAGGAAAACAAGAAACAGCAGAAGGAACCGACGCTAAGCGACCTGGGGTGATGCTGGGTTCTTGAAGAAACGGTGGCTAGGACGCGGGCGGCTTCGGCAGGCAATTTATGCACTCCAGAATTCTGGATCGGTTGGTATCAGAGATCGCTTGCTGCTTCCAAAGCTGCAAAGCGTGTCAACTGAGTTTTCCGTGAGTTCGGAAGTAATAGAGCGGCGAGGTGGGCGTTGTCTTTGGAGAGTGACTCCAATGACTGAGATGTCGGAGTTGGAGGGGCCTTGACCTGAATGAGAGTGATAAGGCGTACGTTACGGCGGACGCGACGTCTGTCAGAAGTGACGAAAGCGATGTTGAGTAAAACATCTGGATAAGCATCTGCAAGGAGGACCGTCCCGGTACAGAACACAGTGTGGATAAGCTGACTGAGGACTAGAGCACCCTACCTTCTCGCTGGAGAGCGTAGACTAGACAGGTGGTGCATCGCCTAGTAAAAGAGGAAACGAAACGAAATGACCGGCGTCCGTGTGCCGCTTGTGAGTCTGCACAATACAGTGATGACGACGAGAGCAGCGCTGAAATGTGTCCCGTGGTGAGCCGGTATGCCCGAATACGCGAGCGACTAAATGACTTAGTCGATCAAATGTCTCTTCGAGCGTGTGGTGAAGCTGCCTTTGACGCTTACGAGCACGGAGCTGAGCTGATGTGGAGAAGGTCGCTCAGAGAACTGGGTTGTGTGCCCCATGCAAGACGTCTTAGCTGTCGAACGGGAGTCAGCGAAGAGACAGGCACGTGCATTTCGACTGCTCGTCCCTGTTTGTTAAACACTCTGAAATGCTAGGGTCACACTATTCGATGGAGGATCCAGCGAACGATATCTAGCGCTATGTCTACGCGATGGCTGATACTGATGCGGGCAGCAGCAGAAACACGGATTGGTTGAGATTTCTGAGACCCCAGAGGACGACGGTTCGGGCTGTGACACCGACGCCGTACCGGAGGGTAACCGCATCATCGGATTGGTTGGAGGCGTCGAGGCCGTATCTATATTGACAGTGGGCCGATGGATATTCTGATCTACACCCGGGGCCGTAGCGTGACTGGGGGAGGCTCACATGTTGAAGACGCTTGGACTGACGAATGCTCCGTTAAGGCCTAACGACTTAACACTGAACAGTATGGATGGCAAACGGCTGCATGCTGACAATGTGATCGACCTACCCATTTGGCTTGGAACTCTCGAGTTAGAGCAGCCGCTTGTTGTGGTGGAGCGCTTACACGTAGATGGCATAATGGGCACAGACGCGCTAAAGGCGTTCCGAGCTGTGGTAGATCTGGATACTAATACAGTGACGCTGAAGGGTACCGGTG